AAAAAAAAAAAAAAAAAGCACACCATATCACAATATCCCTTAAACTCCACTAGATTATCAGAGTGGCCCCCCACTGAACCCCCAGATCAGGCTTAAAAGGCATGTTATTATTAGTTTTTTTAAAATTGCAAAATTACATGATTTATTAGAGCTAGAAACGGTAAAGAAAGCTGAGACCAGCAGTCACTTGTCAAATACTCTGAGGCTTTTCAGCTGATACAAGCTGAACCACAGGCTGTGTTTACATGGAGCATATGGGAGACAGGTATGAAAAATTTAAATTCTAAATAATAAAATATCGAAAGTATGTAGAGTCAACCTTTTTCTTAATACCGAGGGGGCCTTCAAAAATACGTGTCCAATTCCATTAAAAATAAATAAATAAATAATGAAAGAAATACTAATCTTTTTTTTTTTTTAACGATTTATGACATTCTGACTTTGCTATTCTGTTCAAAAGACATTTTTAATTCCTCTTTATTTTTAGCTATTGTTGTGCTGTTTCCATAGAGGAAAAAAGAGTGGGTAAAAATGTGACAAAAGCCAAAAAATGTTTGGGGTTCAGAGGTTACACTACACATTTTCAGTTTCTGGAGGTAAATTGGAACAAATATATCTTTTAGAAAGCAGAAAAAAAAATGTTGGTCACTCAGAGTGCCTTCAATACTTTTAAAAAAAAAATATTTAAAGGTACTTTTTAAAGATAAAGTTCCTTGAAGATGTTTCACCTCTCATCTAAGAGGCTTCATGAGTTCTGACTGACTAGTTGAGAGTTCCAGATACTTATATCGTCTATCCCTCTGGAACTCCCAACTAGTCAGTCAGAACTGATGAAGCCTCTTAGATGAGAGGTGAAACGTCTTCAAGGAACTCAAGCAAGTCCATGTGCTACGAGAATAAACATGACCTGGATGACTGAGAATCTTAACAGACATGTTTAAAGTCAATGTTTTTGCAAGCCTAATAAATGTATTGAATATATTTCACTCCTTGCAATTCCCCCATAGTGGTAAAATAAAAAAGGGAAAGAAATCACAGGTTCTACTTAATTATGTTTTTTGAACTCTTTGTTACTCAGCCACAGACCATTTCCTGTCAAGGGATTAAGCCTCTTCTGTGGATTGTTTGAAAGCCCGCATCACAGCTTCTAAGTGCTGTGAACTGCTGTAGGTGCAAACTCTGCTGCTGAAAGAAATAAAAGTGAACATCAAGGGGGAAAAAAAAAAAAACACAAACCAATGAGCTAAAAAGTAACTGCAAACCTCAGAGAGCGAAGGGGGATAACTATGTGATGTGCAAGCAACCTGTTTCACATTACACTAGGCCATTTATACATTCTTAATCTGAAAATAATAGTGCAACTTTAACTTCTGTGTAACACCAAAAGTGAAATCTATTGTATACTAAGACTTCCAGCACTGATACAGAAAGAGCAGCAACACCAGTGGCTCTCGCATTGTTGTCAGAAGTCAAATTAGCATCAATAAAAGGAAAATGAACAAATGTATCTGTGGAAGACAAATCACCCTGGTTGCCTAAACCAATGTGAAATGCAAACATAGAGACTACCTTTCCTGCAGACATGAGCTTATTGTGGATGCAGCAGGTCTCATATACCACCAGCAGGCAGATAAGGGAGTTTATCAATACAGTTAGAGTTGGCTACCTATTGGGAGCAGAGAGCAGCGGAGAAAATCTTCCATTTTCTAGACGTCTGTGGCTGTTCATATTCCCTAAACACTTCTTCTCTAACCTGTTGAATTTGTTTAACTGCACATGCTTTAAACAAAGAGAACACAGGGACCAAATCCCTTGTTTGTGTTCTCACACTGTGTCAATGAAGCCGATTCTGATTAATTGGTTCATGACCAGTGGTGAAAAACAAAACTGTGGGCCCCCTTTTTTCTTTCAATACAAACAATGCTTCACAATCAGTACTTGTCATCACTCTGTTGAATGTGGGAGAAATGAATAAAGACCTGAGTGGGTCTGATAAGGACCACTGACAGAGATCAACAAATCATGAGCAGGTGGCAGGTTGTTTGGAGGGTGCGATAGGAAACGTCTGATCCTCCGCAGCTCCACCTCACACCTCGCATCTACTGCTAAACATTTTTGGTTGTTGTGGTGTGCCAAGAGCAGCAGCACATTCGGCAGGTGCAGTTGTAATGTTTTAGCCTGGGGTGTAATGGTACTCGTTTCAAACCATTTTGTGGAGGATGCTCGGCGCGTCTCACAACAGTGGAGGGAACCTGCCAACAGTGGTCAAAAAAGGGACAAACCTTAAGCTAGACCATGAACTGATGGAAGGATGCTGGGGGATGAAAGAATCTGCTGCCAAGACTTTTATAGCGTACAATCTGGTGGACTGATCATGTTTTATTGTTGCAAATTGGTTGTTACTTCTGAAATCAAGCAAATCTCACAAAGTCTTTCACAAAAGTTATACTTTAGTGTATTTAACAGAGTCATCCAACATTTTCATGGCTTCATACTATAAATATTTTCTGAGTTCCAGGCCTTTGAAATACACAGGGATGAGTTGAAATCTCACGGTTTTAATTTGATGATTTTCCAGAATTTTTGAGTTACCATAATGTCATACAGGTTTCACGGTGGCTCACTTTTTAGCACCGTCGCCTCACAGCTAGAAGATTCCCAGTTTGCGTCCCAGTTCGGATGCCTGGGTTCTTTCTGTGTAGCGTTTGCATGTTCTCCCGGTGCACTGTGAGTTCTCCACAAGATTGTCTTTTCATCGATTTTGTAATGACTTAAATTCATGCACTCCGGTATGTTTTCCTTCAGGTCTTTGTTGGTTTTCCTGCTAGTTTTGTGCATCAACAGTCATCCAATCCCTGCATATGCTCCTCTCTGCTCACCTCTTTCAGATGCTCTGCTGTCTTTGTGCTCACTGCAGCCAACCTTCCAAGTCATTCTTCTTCTTTGATGCCGAGTCCTTGTGCATGATGGTAACCTGCTCCTGACTCTGAACCCAGCCTGCACCTTTGTAAATCTGGTTCATTCTATGTTTCTAGATTTCTGCAGTTGTCATGGAAATACTGCAAATAATGTCAGAGTCATTGTGCCTGAAACAGGGCTGCAAGGTGGATCATCAGTGGTTATCACCAGCGCCTTGCAGCTAGAAGATTTTCTGCGTGGAGTCTGCATGTTCTCCCCGTGCAGCGTGGGTTCTCTCCGGGTTCTCCGGCTTCCTCCCACAGTCCAAAAGCATGTTAAGGTTAATTGGTGATTCTAAATTGTTTTATGGGTGTGAATGTGAGTTAGCTTGGTTGTCTGTCTCTAAGTGTGGCCCTGTGATAGACTGGTGACCTGTCCAGGGTGTCCCCTGCCTCAGTGACATGTGGTCAGGGGAGGCAGGTGAGGCAGAGCCTCACAGATATGAAACATAACCCGTAAACTGCTGCTAATCAAATGGCAAATATGCTGCTGTGTAGAGTGCATGTATTTGTAAATGAGATTCTGATGAAGTCAGTGCCTCACCAGCATAGACTGTATAAAAGATGGACATAGCAACTGGCCCTGAAAAATGAAGCCAACCCGGAAGTGTCAAAGACCTACGTCCGCGAGCTGCTGGCTCCAAAAAACCTTGGCTCCCATAGACTTGAATTGGAAAAGAAGTGATCACAGATCACGAAATACTGCATTCCTACAGCTCAGGATTTTTTTTATATTTGTTTTCATAGTCAAATCCAGAGATCAGGTGGCCAATCTGAAAATAAATCAATACTGAATTTTAAAAAAATTGTCAAAATTTTGCAGGGCAAGGGGCGTGGCTGGCTTGATTGACAGTTGGCAGCGACCATACAGACGAAGCGAGCAGAAGGCGGTAAATGTGGGCGGGCAGAGAGGGCCTGCCTCTCAATCCGTCTGACCAATCGCTGCTCCTATGGCTCCGCCCCCCTCTGACGATTTTTGCGTCACTGGCTCCAAAAATCCAAGATGGCAACCAGGAAGTAGCAAAACCCTGGCTTCATTTTCTCAGTGCAGAAACCAACGAGTGACGTCACGGTAGCTATGTCCATCTTTTATACAGTCTATGCTCACCAGCCATGAACCTCACCGCACGTCACTGCCCTGCCTTCACCCTAAGTCAGCTGGGATAGGCTCCAGCCCCCACGACCCTAGTGAGGATTAAGCGGTGTATTGATGGTGGATGGATGGATAACATCATATGTACAGGAGATAACATTTTCAGGGCTTCAAAACATATTTCAATTTTTCATACACCAAAGGTGTCACAATTTAAAGCCAAAATTTTGTTTCAGTTCGGTGTCATGTTTTTATATAACGAGCTGTTAGAAAATTATACCGACACAGAGGGAATCAAAGGTAGAAGAAGAATGACCCTGGTGTCAAATTATAGGCAAAATTAAGACTTTAAAACATGTTGTGACCAACCACTTATCCTACATGTTGATATGGCCCTGAAAGGTCAACCCAAAATTCACTTTTTAAAGGTTTCTCCAGTGAATTATTCGAAATCAGATAAAACATTGCTTGTTTCTGTTGCTGTCAGACACGTTAAACTAGTGATGCTTTGGTATTGAAACTATCAGAAATGTTATGATAATAATGCTCAAATGCGATGATGAGGTTTTACATCGTGACACCTCCAGTGGATGTAAAAGTGATTTTGGTTGTAGTTCTCTATGAAGCACAAAGGTGTTTTTCAGCCCTAGTATTGATTCAGTTATGAGGACACAAAAATACTAAAATGCCATGAATTAAAAAGCACAAGATTTCCACCATGTACTTCGAGGGTCTGTAACTCTAAAAATAATCATAGTATGAAGGTAAAATTAAGCATGGGGTATGTACAAGATATTGTACAAAAAATCTGTTGATTCGGAGAGGGGAGGCACTGACGTTTTTTTTTAATGGAATGATTCAAATCTTCCAAAAATGATTGCTTAAAGTGACTTTCAGTGGAGGTCCTGATAATTCACTTCATCTGTTCTCTCCACAATGCTCCTCTTCATTGTTGTTTGTTTCATTGTCTGTGGTTATAATAGAACAGTTTCGTCAGAGAATCACTGTTACTGCAATTCCCACATGAATTGAGTTTCCCCTGTTACCTGCACAACCTTCCCTTTCTCCTAAGCCTGCTGTCAACAGTATACATTGTTAATGCACGTTGCTCAGGGGAATATGTTTTGGAAAGATGTCACGTTCACTATTGCTTCACGTGTTGGTTTCAGTACGTCTCACACACACACACTCAATTCAGTTCCCCCAACAATCTAAAACACTTGGATTCCCTATAAGCTTCAGCAGTCCGCAAACTGTCCGCAACAGTGGGAAGGAACGGAAAACCCCCGGGGGAAAAAAACCTCAGACGGAACCAGGTTCAGGGAGGGACGGCCATCTGCCTCGACCGGTTGGGTGGGTGTGGGATGAATTATACAATTTAGTGTACAGTTAAACAAGTTATTAGAAGCTATTGTTCTTTGTTCCTCCATTTCAAATGGACCAATGAAATATTCCATTTCGCAGTTGGTGGAGGTAACAGGAGGCATCATGGTGGGGGCAGCAGGATGGACAAGGTGAGGCCAGCGGCTGTAGTT